GATCACATTCTGCCTCTATTAGATGCTAAATTTGTTATGACAAAATATGTAAGTCTCTTGATTAAAGTTACTTTTGTTAACCCCATTTAGGCCTCTTATCTAGCTACACATTTAATTCATAGTTGTTTATGTTGCTTGGCATAGAAAGTTTATTTTTCTTACATTTAGTTAAGCATGAATAACTCGGTTTGAATAGATTTTGGTGTTTTCCTCCCTTCGGATGATTTTTAAATGATAATAATGTTATACGAAATGAAATTCCTATATAGCTACAACCGTAGCCTGGTCTCATATTGCTTCTCTATTTAACCTAAATTTAATATCAATTTGGTTAGTGAATCTAATATTGCTTTAAGTTAATATGGTTGGCTCCTTAAATGGTTGTTTCTTTAAGTTCGTGGTCCTTCGAAACTCCCTTTTCATATCTGTCAAGTTTTAGATTCTATATTTACTCGTTTTGTTTTGTTCAATCTTGTCTCTATTGATGCCTCGTTTGAATACTTCTTTCTGGTTGGTAAATGAAGAGTAATGCTACATGATTAAATCTAGAACAACTTGACATGAATATGTTTGGATTCAAAATTGGTACCCCTTCATTCCATCCCCCTCCCTGTTTGAAGATCTGGAAAATATAAGAATATGGATAAATGTTTGGTCATTACATAGTTAACTGAAACATAATCCTTTATTCAATATTTGTGAAAATTTTGGTTTATCCATATCCTCCATTTAGGGGGCTGATTTTATGATTCTACAAGAACTATTCCAAAGAGTTCTTGAGTGACTAGTTTCAATCTAGTAGTGTTGTGGATTGATTTTTTGTTTAGTGATCAGTTAAAGGTGATCTCACTTCAGTCTTTATTTTACGACTTTATAGTTAAGGAAGTACTTTATTATCAAAAATAATTTAATTGATTAGCTTTTCCAGTGGCTCTTCCTCTAATTGTATATTGAGATCATAAAATAATATAAGTGTTCACCTCCTGCCCCGACTCTTCTTGTGATGTTTCTCTCTAGATTGATTAAAGTTTTTGGTATACTAATTACTTAAATGTTGTCAAGGAATTGCAAGAATAGTATTATTTTATTGTGGTGGTTGTTTTTGAGTATATTTATAGTATGCCTATGACTACATGATACTTATTTTACATGTCTTTGATGAACCTAAAATTCAATCACTAATTCTATTTCTTCTTTGTCTGTCACATGTACACTCGGGAGCGCATTTGGAGTTAGTATATGACTCCATCTCTATCCAATTCAGATAAGCAACCAATAGCCTACATTATTTGCTCGTGTCTAGCAGCCTTTTTTGCGTCAATAGTGTCCAACGCCTTTTTACCACTTCAAAGTTTCACGTGTTTTATATATACATATATGTGTTGCTATTTTGACTAACATTTTCCATATTAATGTTTAATATTTAAATTTGTGCTTGCTTTATTTTTGGGCCTATAGAAACCAATTGAGAGTGATAGTAAGACATAGTCGTTCATCTCTCATCCCTCTAGATATTAAGTTTAGTACGACCATTTGGCTTAGGACGACACTTTCGAATTTAGTTTTCATTTGTTACTTACCATATCTTTTGGTCACGAAAGCTTAACATTTAAAAGAAAGTGAACTTGAGAGGAATCCATTTTTAGAGTATAACATATTCATTTTAGATCTGTTTTAATAATAAAATAAGAGTTTAAAACAATTGTGTAGCAATTTTATAAAGTGCAGTTTTTTAAGGTGCCAACGTACAGATTGTATCCTGAAAATTGCAGAATTTTGAGGGGTAAGAACTGCAACTTTAAACAGCCCGGCAATGCAGATTTTTTAGTGCAAAATTTATACATTTTGTTTTGGAGTAAAATGCTATGTTATGAGAGTTTTTGTGATGCGGCATTTTGTGTTCTAAAAAATGATGCATTTTCAGTTTCAAAGAGTGTAGATTTTCAAAAGTTACAAAAAAAATATATCACGTTTTAAGGGGCTTCAAAATATAGCAAGTCATGTATCAAAAATCATAACTTTGAAGACAAGAACGCATACTTTTCTAGAACTTATAAAATAAGAATGTAACTATAGAATAAGTCTCAATAGCTAAAGCCCATTTTATATTCTTTACATCACCCCATCTTTTGAAATATATATATATTTGCTATATTACTTTTCAAATCAAATATTGCTAAAACATTCTAATTTCTTAATATGTCGTTTCAAGATTTTAGATATGCCAAAAGGTTCAAAATACAAGGTACGTACATATAAATGTCATGCACATAAAGGTATAAATTCTATTTTTTTATATTTAGTTTTCTCTAATACATGACCTATTATTTTGTTACACTTTATATTATTTTCTCACATCTACTATCACTCTTACAAATGTTACTTATTTTTTCTTATAATTTATAAATCCCTACACGTTAATATACAATTTATTTTACTACATATTTTCATTCGACTACGATCTCACTTTATTTTTATTTTCTTTCATGTCTTAGTTCTATATATATAAATAAAATGACAAATTTTCATATCCTTTAAACTCAACATTTATTTTTGATACATTTATATAGGACACCTCTATATTTTTTTATTTTTTTATTTTTACATACAAAATTGTCATACATTTTAGTACATTTATTTATTTATTTTTACTATATGATAAACATACTACTATTAATTTTATTTAATAGACATATATATATGTCGTACCTTGTAATTTACTCTTTTCTTAAAATAATAAAATTTACTTACCATTGATTTTAAAAGCAAATAAATAAATAAGATTTTCCTGACTATATTTTCCTAAATTGAGTTTAAGGACTATCTTCGGATAGGCTCGAGGGATGCTTCACACCTTCCCCTCGAGTAACCAAAACCCTTACTCAGAATCTCACTAGTTTCGCAAATCAAAACAGAGTTTACATTTACATATTTAAAAAATGGTTTTCCTAATATTTTCCTTAAAATTTAGGTGGCGACTCTAAAACAATAACAATTTTTTTTCAAAATCAAAGTGTCAGCCATATTATATTGTGAACTGTTTCAGTTGTTTCGAAATAGGGGTGCGACAGTGTTCGTTCAACATGGTGTCATTCTCACACAACTGATACTGACCCGAAATGCACCATATGTTCGGCTCATAGGCATTTGTTGAAGGCTCAACTCTGGTAGGTACCAGGCTGTCGCTTGAGTTATCGGCATCAGATGAAGAAGCGGGACTGCCGCTAGAACTAGAGCCGGACTGCGACTCGAAGCTTGAATATGTGGGGCCCTCCTCAGACTGGGGGGAGATGACCTCGACCTCGTCACTTGTGGGCACAATCTACTGGGATCGCCTAGTAGTGCGAGGGGTATTGAGGGAGACCCTGGTGATAGGTGGAATGTACTTTGTATCGTTGTTCGCATCAATTAGTCATTGTGACGGGGTGACAGATTTGGACTTGCTCTTCTTGGCGTATACCGGTGCTTGTTTGGGAGGCATGGTACCTGTGGAATATTAGTTAGTACCATAACAAGGCAATAAGACTCACAAAATAATTTTAGAACAAGATTCGGACCCAGACAAAATCTCAAAAAAAATTCAGACAGTAGCTGAACTTGTGACCCACGGTGGGTACCTACGGTACGTCGATGGAATGATGGTCCGTAGGTTAGGAGGTCTCATTTTTGGGTTCCAGATAGGGAACCACGGATGTGCAGAATGGTCTGTCGATCAAATGACGGACCACAGTCCACACCATGGTTCTAGACTTATACCAATTTTGTGTGCTACTAATCTACGGTCCCCGACCTATGGTCCATAGGTTGACCTATGGTCCATAGGTTGACCTATGGTCCGTGGGTGGGGCTTGTGGATCAGTTATGTGCTAGGCATCATACTTGAACTCACAGTCATTGCAATATTTCAACAAACACTCAATCAAACTAAGCTGACACATGCATTTCAACATATATTTTGGTAGTTCATCATCCTTAGGGTTGTGATCTTTCAATTTCATTCACATTCACACAAAACCATTGAACAACCCTAAGTCAAAAACTTCCAATTAGGCCTATTATTATTTTTAGTTGGTATTAATTCACTACACACTCACATACTGTCATTCCAAGGGTGTTTCTAAACTAACATCAACATTTGAACAAGTAATTGAACAACCCGAGGTCAATTTCATTGTTCTGACTTCAATAGAAACAATGAAATGTTGAAAGTTTTGGAGAAATCAACATACCTTACAAGTAATCAATGATGGCGAGTGTGTGATCAAATGCAAAAGCTCCTAGAACAACAATGACACCGAACCTGGACCTCGAGAACTTTCATGGAAAGGAAATAGAGATGAAATTTAGGAGAGAAGGCTGATATAGGATATGGGAAATTGATTTGTATCAGTTATGGAGTGATTTGCTGGGTTATTTAAGGATGAATATGGGTATATGGAGGGTTAAAAACGGTTGGGAGGGAAATATAGAAGTGGGGAATGTTTTAAAACTGAGGGGTTATATTAATTTAGGGTTCGGGTCGGATAGAAAACCCTAGTCTGGACCCACGAGACCCCATCGATGGGTTGTGGGTCGACCTATGGTCCGTCGATTGGGTTCGTAGACCACTCTGACACTTATAAAATATAGAGAAATTACTTGGTATCTACGGACACCATCCACGGTCCGTGGATTGACCAACGGACCGTCGATGGGATCCGAGACCACTGCACATCAGGTTTCTGCAGATTTTGCCTTTTCATCCCTGCACACGTAGCAACCATTAGGACTTTGTTTTTACATTTTATGGATACTTTTTAGACACGGACCCTATTCTATATATAGCCAACACAAAAACATAAAATAAACACCTATCTAAAGACCTGCAAAAATCAAAATGAAAGAAGAAAACTCCTAAAATCGAAAACAAAATCCTATAGTTGGCTAGATTGTACATCTTGGGTTGCCTCCCAAGCAGCGCTTGATTTAACATCGCGGTACGACGCAGACACCTTGATTACTCAGACTTCATAAAGATAATATGCCTCAATCACTTCTGTCACACTCTTAGATTTCCCCAAGTAGACTTTGATCCTTTGTCTGTTCACTTTAAACCTCGTTCCTTCCTTGTTCTCGAGCTCGAACGCTCCATGTGGAAATACTTGAGTGACTTTGAATGGCCCGGTCCACTTGGACTTGAGCAAGCGCAACCTTTAGTTGAATAAGAGCACCAGATCACCCATAACAAATTCACGTTTTTCAATCTTTTGATCATGGTACTTCTTCATCTTCTCCTTGTACAAAGATGAACTTTCATATTCTTTTAGGCGAAACTGATCAAGCTCATTCATGTCATTCATGTCATTCAGTCTTTGTCTCGATGCGGCACCCCAATCCAAATTAGACTTCTTTTGCACCCACATTGCTTTATGCTCTAGCTCTACGGGCAAATGACATGACTTCGCATATACAAGTTAGTAGGGGGACATACCTATGGGAGTCTTGAATGAGGTGCGATAGGCCCATAGAGCATCATCAAGACTTCTTGACCAATTAGTTTGGTTACAGAGTCTTTGCAAGGATTTTCTTTATCTCTCTATTTGACACCTCAACTTGCCCACTAGACTGCGGATGAAAAAGAGTAGCTACAATGTGGTGAACTTCATATTTCTCAAGCAACGCTTTGAATAACTTGTTACAAATGTGAGAACCTTCATCACTGATAATTTCCCTAGATGTACCAAATCTAGAGAATATACTCTTTTCAAGAATGTGGTGACACTTTTTCCCTCATTGTTTGAAAGCGCAATTGCCTCCACCCATTTCGATACATAGTCAACCGCAACAAGAATATACTTCATCACATGCGAACTTACAAATGGACCCATGAAGTCAAGGTCCTAGACATCAAATAACTCAATCACCAATATCGGATTCATAAGTAGCTCTTACTTCTTTGAAATTCCTCCTTCTCTTTGGCAACGGTCACAAGACTTGGCGAAATCATGAGCATCTTGGTGGATGGTAGGCCAATAATGCCCACACTGCGTAACTTTGTGAGCAGTTCGGATACCACTATGGTGCCCACCAACAGGCGATGAATGACATACCTCTAGTATACTCATCATCTCAACCTCGGGCACACAACGATGAATAATCCCATCAGCACAAATATGGAACAAGTAAGGCTTATCCCAAAAAAAATTCTTCACATCAGACATAAATTTTTTCCTTTAGTGGAATGACAAATCTGACAGACCAAATCACTTGCCAAGTAATTAGCAAAATCTACAAACCAAGGGATAAGATCATAAGAAGCGGCCAGTACTTATTCATCAAGGAATGCATCAGTAATCTCAATTCCATCCTCAAATTTGACCATAGTTTCCTTATCTAATATGGACAAATGATCAGTAACTTGATTTTCCATCCCATTTCTATCTTTCACCTCAAACTCGAACTCTTGCAACAAAAGCACCCATCTAATTAACCTTGGTTTTACATCCTTTTTAGCCATCAAACACCTCAATGGAGAATGGTCAGTATGCACTATGACCTTAGAACCAAGAAATTAGGACCTAAATTTTTTAAATGCGAAAACTACATCAAGGAGTTCCTGTTCAGTCACCATATAGTTCTTTTGAGCCACATTCATAGCTTTGTTGGCGTAGTAAATTGGATGAAGAATCTTTTATTGCCTCTATCCTAATACTAACCCAAGCGCCACCCCGCTCACATCACACATAACTTCAAATAATTGTCCCCAATCCGGTGAAATAATGATAGGTGCAGAAGTTAACTTGGCTTTCAACTCTCCAAATGCTCTCAGACAAGCATTATAAAAATCAAACTTACACTCCTTTTCGAGTAGTTTGCACTATGGGTGTGCAATTTTTGAGAAATCTTTTATGAGCCTCCGATAGAAACCTACATGCCTAAGAAAACTGCGAACACCTTTTACAGAGATGGGTGGTGGAAGCTTTTCGGTTACCTCAACTTTGGCTCTATCAACCTCAATACCTTTCTGCAAAATTTGATGACCCAGAACCATACCCTCTTTCACCATGAAGTGGTACTTTTCCCAATTGAGCACAAGATTGTACTCTTCACATCGTTTCAGTACCTCAGCCAGATGCATCAAACGAATCACCTACCACAGAAAAATCATCCATAAATACCTCAATAGTGTCCTCCACCATATCTAAAAATATCGACATCATACAATGCTGGAAGGTCATTAGAGCATTACATAACCTAAATGGCATCCTTTTGAAGGCGAAAGTCCCATAAGGACAAGTGAAGGTGGTCTTCTCTATGTCTTACGGAGCTATGGAGATTGGATTGTATCCCGAATACCCATCTAGAAAACAATACAAACCCTTACCAGGGAGATGATCCAACATCTGATCCTTGAATGGCATAGGGAAGTGGTCTTTCTCTGTCCATGCATTTAGCTTGCGATAGTCCATACACACTCTCCAACCAGTCACCGGCCTCATTGGAACAAGTTCATTTTTAGCATTTGTGATGTTTGTGTAATCAAGACACAAGTTCCAATTCGAGTGTCTATGATCGTACATTAGTAAAGTAACCCAACCAAGGGTTGGGGTTAAGTCCCAAAGGAGTGGTTTTGAGAATTAATAGAAAAATAAAATTTAGTTCTAATTAGACATAGCTATAGACATTAACGAACATACTAAATCTAAAGGGGATGACACAAGCGTCAATTATCAATGGGTGGTTTTGTATTAATTAACAACTACAAAGAGCGAAAATATACGAAACTAGATAAAAAGACAGGATTCTTGGGATGTGATAGGAATATGGGGTAAACTAAATTGTCGGGTACATGTTTTTGATAGTAATTTCTTTAGTAGTTGTGACTAGGCTAGATTATATTGGGGGTAAATTCTCTCTCGAGCAACTTACTTCGAATCGACTCGATTTATCTCAAACACCAAGATGCCACTTTAAGCACAGCCTCCGCCTTAGCCCATTCACTCTCTTGAGCTGAATGTGTGGGAGTAGGACTAGGATTCACTCTCTCGAGCTGAACCCATGTCGACCCAATACCACCAGCTATCAATTTAGTAGTCTTAGTTTTACGACCTCTCTCTCGAGCAAGCCGAAAACACTGAGATGAAATCGTATTTACAACTAAAACTCCATTAACTTCATACACAACTACTAAAAGAAATCACATTTAAGCAACAAATAAACCATCACCATGCAAGACCCAACAGATAATCTAACCCATATTCACAAAATCACACCTCAAGAATTGGGGTTTTAGCTAGACATGTAAAAGAGATAAAAATTTGTACCAATATCAGTTTCCATCAACTGTGTATGAAAGATTAAGTCTAAAAACACATCAAGAGTGAAGAATCTTTGAGACCCAAGTCTAATTTCTTGGAGTTGAAACCCTTTGAATCTTCAAGGTCTTAGAATAAAGTCTCCAAAACCCTCTAAAACTTAAACTCTATAAAAAAAACTGTAAAATGTTCTAACAATAATAGTGAAATGATACTAAGCTAGAAATTTAAACCAGTATTTATAGTGTTTGAAAATGTGTTGCGAAGGACCCTTCGGCAAAGTTAGTCAGGATCACCGATACATTCGGCGATCCGTCATTTGGTCGATTTCATCACCTTCCTGCTTTAGCCTTTAGCCTTTAGCCTCTTCGCGTTTTGAGCCGTTGGGCGATATGGTACTGCTTCACGAAACTATTCGACGACACGTTGACTGCTCTATTTCATCGCCAGCTTGACCTTTTCCTTCTTGGTTAAGCGCATTGGAACAAAAGGCGATCTCCAGGCCGATCGGCGACTCGCCAACTGGGCTCGTCAATCTTCAGCCATTTTTTTCTTCCTTCTTTCAGCCGCTTTGTTCCTTTTTGCTCGACAGCATCAATGCTTTGTCTCTCAACTCAAATACTTGAAACTTAAGGATTTTCATCATATATAGAGACAAAATATGCATTTGATGACACTAATTCTATCAAAATATACCCCTAAATGAGTCCAAATTGTGGACTCGTCAATTTGGAACCACGGTGATTCCCCCTTTGTTGGGCACACACTGAATAGGACAAACCCAACTACTATCAGCAATGGGATCTATGACTCCAACATCCAACTACTTAATGATCTCCATGTTCTCAACCTCTTGCATAGGGGGATTCAGTCTTCTTTGGTGCTCAAGTATGGCTTAGTGTCCGGCATGAGTTGGATTTTGTGAGAACAAATGCCCGGTGGAATACCAATAATGTCTGCAATAGTCCATCCAATTTCCCTCTTGAACCTTTTCAAAACAGAAACCAAGGCCTCAACTTGCTCCTCACTCAAATCAGTAGCAATGATTACAGGTAAAGTACTATCTCTCCCCAAGAATAAATACCTCAAGTGTGATGGTAGAGCCTTGAGTTCCAGTTTTAGAGGCTCTTCCACGAACGATTTTGCAGGTGGGGATTCGCGATTCTTCATATCTAACTCCAATCTTTTTGGTTTGGAATGGAATTTGAACCTATCAAGTGCGGTAACCAATTCATCATAGTCTTTAATACCATTACCATCAAAACTCATCATTACCGCTATCAGTGCATCAACACCTAACCTATCTTCAGTAGACATTTTAGAACCTCTTTCCACATTATGATTCACCACCGATACTGACTTAAGATCACTTTCTTGCTTTATATACCTACAGATGTTAAAAGTTACCTCCTCATTATTTAGTCAGAATTTCATCTGCCCTCTCTCAATATTGACCAAAGCATTCCTAGTAGCAAGGAATGGTCTCCTTAAGATAATAGGAACCTCACAATCAAGGGTCACAAAATCCGCCGGAAAAATTAACGACTCCACTTTCACAAGGTCATCCTGAAAAACACCAATGGGATTCTTCACAATTCTATCGCCCATGAGTAGATGCATCGCAGTCTATTTTGGAGCCCTTAACCACAATTTCTTGTAGATAGACAATGGCATTAAATTAATGTTGGCACCCAAGTCGCACAAAGCTTTCGCAAAGTGTAATATCCCAATGGTACGAGGAATTATGAAAGATCCAGGATCCTCTTTCTTTTGCACAAGTGACATAGTAGCAATAGCACTGCAATGTTGCAACCTCTCATCATTATCAAAACTGACAGACCTCTTTTTGATCACCAAGTCTTTCATGAATTTAGCATATACAAGCATTTGTTCTAAAGCTTCTATCACCGGAACATTGATGGACAGTTTCTTCAACATAGTGATGAACCAGTTGTATTTTTCTTCTTCAGTCTTTTTTAACAACCATTGTGGGAATGGAGGTGGAGGTGGAGGTCTCGGCATGGGAACAACTTTTTGGGTCACCTCAGCTTCCTTTTCAGTATCACTTTTGGGCACTTTAGTACCCTCATTCTCAACCTCATCCTTCT